GAAAAAATTAGGGATGTTGGTTAGCGGGGGTGGATTGTTGGAGTAGGATTAGGAATTGTTACTATTGGTTCAGCTTGACAAATTTTTTAAGAAGAAGAGCATGGAGTGGTTAAAGAAATTAATTCATTGGTGCTGGGAATTTTGGCGGGGGTACTCTGCACAAGGGTAAAGGAATTGCTGGATCAGGATTGGATGAGGATGACTTCTTTGTAAATGAATAAGGAGTTTTTAGTGGGGTTTTCCAGGAAGGGTCATTGAGTCATAAAGTTAGGAGAGTCCGCATATGCATCGCATAAACAACGTCAATAACAGTCAAACTAAATATGCTTTCTATAAACATTTCCGTTAGGCTCTACTCATTGTCAGTAGACCTAAAACCTATATATTAAATAACCATATCTTTGGGTCGCTATGTGATGAAAACCAGACCCACTGTTTAGTCTTCCCATAGTCCGACATAGACCACGTACGTAGGATCTGATTTTCCACGCGGACGTAACAATACGAAGGTTTCAAGGTTTTCCTGTAATTGTTTTGCATCAGTTCGAGCGATAAGACACCTGTCCGAATTGCGCACTTTGAGCTCAAACTCTACATCAAAAAATTTTCGACGCGAATTCGGAAGTGCACAAAGGTTCGCTTATCTTCTGCGAATAATTCGATACCCTGAATAACAAGGTCAAAACAGTGTCCGGCTGCCGCCTGAAGTCTGCATGGTGGTCGGGGGAGTCATCGAAAGGGAGGAAGGGGGTCCATTGAAGCTTCTTGAAGGCTCCTCGGAGTGGGGGGCAAGGGGCTCCATCAAAACGTCGCGCAAGAGGACCATCGGCTCTGGGAGCGATCCTCAGCGACTTAGCACGGATACGAACCGCCGAAGCTTCTAGAAGCTTCTAGAATATTCTAGAAGGTTCTCGATCGTGTGCGATTCCTAGAATCGAGCGCGAAATTCCCGGAATCGAATGAAAATTCTTCGAATCGAGGGGTCTTGATGACGTCACTTCCGGAAATCGTACAGCTCACAACGGCAACTCAGCACGGACACCCACCTTCGAAGGTTCTAGAGTGTCGGTATATGTCGAATACAGGAATCTTGAGCCAGAACTCCCTAACTTATACTACTGAGATACCGAATAGGACATGGATGCACATACTTGTTGTGACAAACGATATCGACAGTATTTTCTAGATTTGTTTTCTATTTAACAGTTTCTATATACAATATATTTAAAGAATTATTACATATAAACATCATTGTATCTAATCATGAGTTTCTCCGCAAAGTAAAATGCGTCTATTTTCATTCTATAGACCAATATAGCAGATATACAGTGAACGAAGTTGGAATGCAAATTGATGGCATCAATACTCAGGGCGAGAATATAGCTGACAATGGTGGCATTAAACAAGCTTTTAGGGTAAGGTTAATTTCTTTACATGCGTGCATGAGACGCTTGTGAAAGTGGTTTTTTTTTTGAGACAATAATTCATTTAATTCTTAATCTAGACATAAGAGATGTATGTTCAAATAAGATACAATTTGACAAATCGATATCACAATTCAGAAATTTTAAACTAATCATAATACAGTAATAATTAGATAACTTTGCTCTGTAATGCGAACCAAATAATTAATCATAACAGTTATTAAGTATGAATACATATGAAAGAGGAATAAATATTACTACATTCTAAATTTCTGCAGGCCTACGAAAAATGGTTAAGCGGAAATGGAAATGCAAATGAGACTTTGCCCGGAATAGATGCTAATGGAAAGCAACTATTTTTTCTTAATTTTGCGCAAGTGTGGTGTGGTTCAATGAGGCCTGAGGCTACGAGGAATAAACTGAAAACCGCCGTCCACTCGCCAGGAAAATTTCGAGTAATCGGAACATTGTCAAATTCCAAAGACTTCGCTCAAGTGTTTGACTGTCCCATCGGTAGCCCTATGAATCCTGAAAAAAAGTGTCTAGTTTGGTGAATTTAGCTAATCAATAAAAAAACTAAGATTATTAAACATAAGCTATTTAATAAGTAAGAAGGAAAAGTACGAAAACAACTTCTACATTTTTTTTTGGGAAAGCTCAATTCGTTCCAAATTTTTTATTATAACATTCATTTGAACAAATGTAAATGGTATTACAATATTTGAAACTTAATATTTTTCAAGAACTTATCCTACATCCATTATTTCCAGTTCAATATAATTCGAAAATGTTTTCATTTTGCTCTACTAGCGTAATACTACGTTTTGTAAATGGTAAATATCGGAATAAATAAAACATGCTTAATGACGTACGGTTATAAACAAAAAAATCTAACTAATTGATCTGAGAGTTTGATATGTTCTTTACAGGTACACAATTGTCGTGCGTGCTTCGCTTTTTGTGAGATATCCACAGTGAAAGTATCGTAAATTGCTCAATAAAGTACCGTTCTGAATACTTGATACGCGTTAAGTTCACGCTTGTACTATTATATTTGTGTTTTGTCAGTCCTTTAAACAGTCTTGAGCCCGTATTCACAACTCGCTCTTAAAGTCACTAACAGAGTCGCTTGTAGTTAAAAGTCACTAAGAAAAAATTTAAAAGCGCACTATTAACACTAAAAGCGAGTTTTGAATACGGGCTTTAGCTATTTTAGCTTCTGAATGGTCCAATTTCACAAAATTGTTACGTAACAATTATTTTGCATTAAGAATAACTATCACAGTTTTTTAATGGATAGTTGGAATTATTTTTGTTAACTTTTTACAACAATATTTGAGCAATACAAAGTATGCGAATTAACAATATGTATGGCTCTACTCTTCGGCTTCAAACAATGATGAGCAAGATTCTCGCACCAAGTAAAGGGAACCCGCCGTACAGAACACGGCCCGCCGAGGCTCTTTACTCGAAGCATCTCCTGTATCTGTGTTTCGACTCAAATATCTTATGAACGGCTATGTATGAGAAAAAGTTAATAATACATTTACCGTAAGAATCGAGGGTTCTCAATTGACTGCCATAAAAATCAATGAGATTGATGTACGAGATCAGGAAGTATTGAGATGGCGAGCGAGATGATTTTTTACGTCGTCGTCTTCGCACGTCCATCTACTTTTTCACACAACGGATGGCGCTGGCTGCATTGTCTTCTTTACTGGATAGTGTTGGTAATTTACGAATACACAACACAATCAAATATATTTTGTACGTGAAGCTAGTGTTCACACCGAATTTCCAGTTAATATAAGGCTGTTTTCACAAGTTTCACTTTTAATATACATACATAATACAAGACTGCTATGAATTCCTCTAACAAAAATATTGAAATCATTCTATTAATGCCCAGTACATAAGTCACTACATATCTGCCTATACATATATGATCTAGCACTGGTCCATTATTTTAATTGTATTTTCAGAATTTCCTATTATGTTTTCGCTACTCTTTTACATTATTATTGCTTCTCGTATTTAATTATGTTTGAATGTGAAAGGAAGAACCGAAAGGAAACAACGCCCCAGATATTTACTCGAGAAGGGCACATTCCCCCCCCCCCCCCCTTTT